ATTCTAAGATTGAGGATTGGCGTAATATTTTTCTCTCCTCTCTTATGGTGGTCGTCTCACCGTATCACCTTACTTAAAAGTATTCTTGTTAGTATTCCAATGTATGCTATGCAAGTTCTCAATCTCAATAAGAGTACCCAACTTACATTAGAGAGATTGTTTAATCAGTTTCTATGGTCTGGTATGGTCTGGTACTTATTCTAGCAAGCATTGGACTACTTTTAAGAAGGTTTGAAAACCTAAGGCTGTTGGTGGCTTAGGGATTAAAAATTTGGATCAAATTTTTGCTATTAAACTATTAATATGGGCTTGTTTTGGTTTAAATTTCATGCCAACAACTCTTTATGGGCTAATTTTATTCACCATAAGTATTGCTCCCATTGCCACCCGACAACCGTTCAGTGGAGGGTGTGGGATTCCAGGATTTGGAAAGCCATTCTTAAAGAGAGAACTATAGCTAGAAAATTTATCTTTTGGGATGTTGGGGAAGGTAATATCTCCTTATGGCATGATCAATGGGGCTTGGGGGATGAGGATTTTTTTCTTCAATAAGGTCTCTCTAATGATTTGATTGTCTCTAATTTGTGGCTTCAAGGTAATTGGGATGTCAGTAGATTGAATGAATATTTTGGAGTCCAGGCTGCTAGAATCTCTAAAATCTTTACTAAGAATAGTATGAGAGATACTCCTATGTGGAAATCCACGGCTTCTACCTCTCCCACTAAAATGCTCTATACTAACCTTTATCAATTTAGAAATTGGAGGTGGGGGCAGTTTATTTAGAACAAATTTTTATCACGCTCTATTTCTTTCTTCTTATGGAGAGATGGGGGCGGTTTATTTGGAACAAATTTTAATTGCCCTCTATTTATTTCTTCTTAAAGAGGTTTTTTCTTAATATGTTGCCTTTGGATGATATTTTGAGACTTAAAGGATTGAAATTGGTGTCTCAATGCTATCTTTGCAAGACAAATTTAGAAACAACTGAGCATCTTTTCTTCTTTTGTCCCTTTGCTATTGCTACTTGGAATATGTTTGGTAATCATTTTAATGTCACTTGGAGGCTTACATCCTGTATTCTTGATTATCTCTTTATCTGGAGAGATGCTGATGCTACACAGGTGGATGAAAAGCTCTTTTGATTTCCTCTGGTGGTTCTTTGGATTATTTGGATGGTGAGAAATGATGCTAAATATGAGAATGCTATGTTTCACCCTAATCTCACTGTCTCTAAAATTCTTGCTCATTTTAAAAGAGCTTGCAGGGCTTTTTCCTTAACCAATGATCTGGTGTCGTCGAGGTTGGGTAGGATTGCCATCTTCTTTAGATGGAAACCCCCACCCTCAGGTTGGTTTAAGTTTTATATTGATGGCAGTTGGCATTCCAATGTTGCGGGTGGGGGGGGGATCCTTAGGGATCAAAGGAATCACGCTGGGCAATGTCTATTTTACTTTGCATCTCCTCTTTTCGCCTCCACACCATTAGAGGCTGAATTTTGGGCTTTATTGTTAGCCTTGCAGGTTGTTGCACATCTTAATCTCTCAAATATTATTTTTGAGATAGATTCACAAATTATTTTTAATGAGTTTAACAAGGCTACGGGGCCTAGATGGGATTTTCTTGCCATTATCAATCGTATTCGCGATGTTATCCAATGATATAATTTAAATATTCAGTTATCCTTTATTTATAAGGAAGGCAATTCTTCGGCTAATTGGCTTGCTAATAAGGGTAGGGGGTCGGCTGAGTTAAATTATGGGATTTCTCCCATGCCGAAGCTTAATTCTTTTATTTTAGGAGACTTGATTGAGCTCCCTTTTATTGAAATTCAGTAGTTTCTCTGGTTGTCTTCTTTTCTTCTTATGCTTTATACTTGGATTATTTTCTTTTCTGGTGTTTTTTCATGTCTGATAAGGCTTCCAAGTATATTTCTTCTCTGAGTTGGGAAGGTTTAGGCTTTCATGTTTTAAGCAAGAAAAATTATGTTGGCATCCATGTTTTTGAACGAAAAATTTATTTGAGTGTAAGTGTTTACTATTTTTGGATCTGTAATGTGTTTATGTAGGAAAATTATGCTGCCATTTCATGTTTACGCAGGAAAATTTATGGTGAGATTTGCAGGCTTTATGATAATTTCACGCCTCATATTACTGCCTGGAATTTGAGTATTTATACATGTGGAGCTATATTTGTAGGGAACCTCCATGCTCTATACTTTCTCTCAAGCTCCTCAAGTTGCACTTATCTACACCAAAAGATCGCTTTTGTTTAGGATGTTACTCCTCCGACTAGCTCATGGTAGAGGCTCACCTACCTTTTGGCGGATCGAGCTCGCTATTTTCTACCACTTTGGGTACATGTGTTTTTCGGGTATACTTCTCTTTTTGGTATACGTTATGGTGCACATGTATTTATGGGTTTACTTTTCCTTTAGTTTTCTTTTGTGTCGAGTTGTACTTTTGGGAAACTGGAACCCATAGGACCTTTTTGTATTTCTCTTTGTTTGTAGATGTGGTTCGACTTTTCCTTCCAAATTTTGTAAACCTTTTTTATTTAAACGTGTTGGGAGACATGAGTTGCTCTTTATGTAATATATATATATATATAAAACAATATTGACTAATCCATATTTTGGTCCCTAATTTCTTGGTTAGTTTGGGAGGATACCGGCTACCAATTCAAAGCTCCCACTACTCCCTCACCTTAGGGCTAACAATCTTGCATTAGTTTCCAATCAACTGGACCAAAATGGGGATTTTAATCTATCTCCTTAAATCCTTAAAATCTTCAATTCTAAAATCTTCAATTCTACATCGAACAAAGTATATTTCTCTATTTACTTGCACTCAACCCCATTGATGGCATCTTATCCCATGGAATCAAATGTGATTCTCTTGATGTTGAAGAAATTAGAGCCCTTTCAGAACATATGTTTCTCAACACATTTTAACATTTCAATTGACCAGATCAAAAGGTAAATGAAGATCAGAGTTCAAACGAAAAAAAAATTTGTCATTTAAAATCGTATAAAACAAAATCAATACTTCACAAAACCATTTATCAAAGTAGGGAGAAGGATTAAAAAGACTACTCAAAATTCATGAGAAGGATACGAAAAAACACAAATTTCATATATAAAAACAAATTTACAAAATAAAAAAATAAAAGAACACAACTTATCTCACAATCCTTCTCAAGCAAATCGATAGAAGTTCTCTTCAAGCACTTTCCCTCCTTTCAAGCACACTCAATTCTCTCTTAGAAGTGTAATCAAGAAGAAATCTCTCACCTTCCATCTCCTCATACAATCCTAGAAAAAAATCTCCAAGCCCTTCAATTTATCTCTCTCTCTATCTCACTCTAATCTCTCTCTTTAGCCCCCCTTTCATGCACCACTTCCACCACTCACGCATGCCTTAGACTTCTCTCTCTTTTAGTAGAGGTTGTCTTCATCAAAATGAATTCAAAACTCCATCCAAAATTCTATCTAAAAGTCAACGCTTTGATTTCAAAAGACTTGTCTATCTAAGAGACAAATCCCTTCATAAAAGAATCTTATAACGTGTTTAGATACAATGAATCACTTCAATGGGGCATTTAGAAAAAGTTTCCTTTTCAAAATTTGTGTAAAATTCATCCCAAACCGCATTAATGCGTGAAAATTGATCTTTAGCGCTTCAGGCGCCAACTTACTTAAGACCGCGTTGTTCTGGGTTTTGGCACTTCAAGCACCAAATATGGACATTCAGGCGCAACTCTTTATCGAATGGTTCTTCAGGGGCCATAATCTCAAAATTCATTATTTTAGCTCCAAATTTTGTCCTTTTGTTATTTTTACTCCAAATTCCTAAAATTGATATACTACAATAAAAATAAGTAAATACCCTTGTTTAAAGTGCAATATCACCAAAAATAAGCATAAAATGTATTCTTAAGATAACATATTATTTTAGTGTATCAATTCCAAAATAAACTGTTCCAAATTTGAGTCATTCCCATTTCACTCCTCTTTATCCGATCATTTCAAAAGTCCTATCCCTTGAAATTCGTGAAGAGAATATTCCCTGATCTAAATCAAGAGTTTTCTTAGGTGACTTTGGTTATCTAAGATGTAATTAGCTATAGTGGCTTGCCCTTATAGGAAGCTTTTAATAACCCAACTTAATATAAACCCTATTTAGTTTTTTTTTAATATTAAATTGGGGAACTTGTCGGTCAACATAAGAAAATGGTTTTTTGCAGATATAAACATATATCATAAATTCTTTAGTTTATTTAATTGAGCTTCACCAGTTAGTAGTGTGTGTACCCTTCAAGATAGATGCATTGCTTGTGGTGTTAGACTTGTTTATTTAAACTACTAAGGATATTAGATCAGTTTGGTCTTGTATTTTCAAAACATAAAATATTAATTTTTCAAAATTATATATACATATATTAACTTAAAGCAAGTGTTGGGATATCCATTTCGGCGACCAAAAACTCCCAATTTGGAGACCGACACTAACTTAAAAGTACAGGCTTTAAAGCGTTAAATGTGACATAATATATCAAAATATTTTTTAAGTAAAGATAAACTAAATACATAAACAGTAAATTAAAAATGATGAAAAAAAAAAGTCTAAAATTTATCATTACATACACTAGTTCAATAGGCCCACAAATTAAACACATAAATTTTCCACATTTAAAATCAACAATAAAACAAAACAAATAACAAAACATAAAAATAAATAAACCTAAATAAAATCTACTCTTCACCATCCTCCTTTTCCTCTTGTTCCTCTTCTTCTTCATCTTCTTCATGCAAATAAGGCGTGAAGCTGGGGCATGTAGGAAACTCTTCTATATGACCAACCCTCAAGAATCTAATCATCACCTCTTCATATGCACTATCATGCTGGACTCTTTTTTGCTTATATTCATCTTTGTAGGAATTTATAGCTTTGATTATGCCTTTTTTTTTGCATTGTTAGAAGATCTGATTGTTGAATCATTAACTACTCCATAATATTTTCAAGTGAAATAGAACCAGATGTAGATGGTCCTGCAACAAGTGTGGAGGGTCTAGCACTACTTCCACTCCTAGATCCAACAAATGATTCAAATTTATGTACAGTGGGTTTTCCAATAGGTTCCAGTGGTTGCAACTTTTCCTCATTTCTCCCAAATTCTGCTCCTGATTGTTCACATAAAGTAAAAATAATGATAGGATATCCCAAACCAATAGCTTTCCCACTTCTATCAATGTTCTGAGCATTATGCACAATAAGAGCACCAATATCCACTGCCTTCATTTGTTGAATGCAGAAATTTAGCAGTACTCTTTCCTTAGTTACTTCGCTTAGGTGATTTGTTGGAAGCAACATTGTAGAGATGAAGTAATGTCATGCCTTAGATTGAAAACTTAACATGGAAGTGAAGAAATTGACTTTGTTATTCATTTTTTTTGTTGCGAAAGATTGTGTAAAATTTAAATAAGTATAATCAATTAATATTTAGATTCTACGCAAGTATATGTATCATTATCAAGTAATAATGGAATTTCTATTTAAGCCCCAAATGTCAATCCTATGAGGAAGGTTTAAATTGGAAATGATAAATTTGTTAGGAAATTCACAGAAAGTCAATTGAAATCACTGTCACTAATTTCTATTGTTGAGATGTAATAAAAATTAAATTTTTAAACTATTATCAAATCAAAAATGTAAAGTTTAAAACAGTAAATACTAATCTATTAACTATGTTTATGTAACGAAGATTTTTATGTGAAAAAGCATCCTTCCCACTACAATTAAGCTATGGTAAAATGAGATGAGATAAAAGTTCATAATATGTATTGTGCCAAATAAGAGAAATTTTAATTCTCTACCCTGATAGAGTGCATTGAAAATCATTGCCTAATCTCAGTGTTTAGTCCCTAAATCTATGGCTAGGCTAGGGGGATAACGGATCCTATATCTGCTCCCACTCTAGAGCTCCCACTTTCCTTCACCTGAAGGCTAGCTCTTGCTTCAGTTTTTATACAATAAGACCAAATTGAAGATTTTAATCTGTCACCCTAAAGGTTCTCAAATTCTACACCCAAAAAATAATACTTCCCTATTTATTTTCACTTAATTTCATGAACGATGTTCTCCTCCATGGAATCAAATGTGATCCTCACTCTGTTGTAGAACTCATACTCCATTTCCCGGATCATATGTTTCACAACACATTTTAACAATTCAATTGGCTAGATCGAAAAATAAATTAAAAATGGAGTTGAAAAACCATCACAATTTATTTTATATTTTAAAATTAGTACATCTAAATTATCGCTTCATTTCACCATATCTCAGAGTATGGAGAAATTTAAAGGAAACTACTCAGACTTCATATCAGAAAAAAAAGAACAAAACACAAATTTCATATATAAAAAAAAGTTCATACAAAACTGATAAATAAACAATACTTATCTGAAAACTCTATCTCAAAGCAAATCCTTTGTAGCCTTTCCTTAGAAATGCAGGAAGAAGATATCTGACTTTTCTCCTTCTCCAACCCTCTTACAGAAAGTTTCACACTAAATCTCACCACAAAAACTCTAAACTATGAATGAAAAATAAAAAATTGACTCTAATATGGTAGTGGAATGGAATGATATGGTGCAAAAAATGAACCTAGAGGAGTGAAAAATGTAGAGGATCACTTTTTGATGAAATTCAGCCCCAAATAGGGCTCAAGGTCGGTTCTTGAAGAGGTGCCTCCAAAAACTCTTCAAAAAATCATCCAAATACATCGAATATTCTAGAAACAAGGTCTGAAACGCCTTTAGCAAAGGTCTGAAATGCCTTTAGCACCATCGGCGCTGAGTAAAAATCTCTACTTAAGTTGTTCTGCACTATCGGTGTTTACCTCGGCGCTGCCGACAAACGAGTATTTCTTCAAAAATGTAATTTTGACTCCAAAATTCATCCTTTTTGCTTTCTTTTTGCCTTAACCCCTAAAAATCAACAACCTATAAGAGAAAATCAAAATACCTTCCATTAAAGTGCAATATCATCAAAGATGAGTATTATCACCAAAAATGAGTATAAAATATGGGTCTAAAAATGCATATATTTCCAGTGTATCAAAATCCCGCAAAATTACATGGTACTTGTCCTCAAGTAACTTCTCTACTACATAAAAAATATGACTTATGGTAATGAATTTAACCTTTAGATTTCCATATTTTAGTTCTCTAAATATAATTGTTTAACTTAAGAAAACTTAAGAAAAATTCAAAAAAGAAAAATTCAAAACAACTCCAGTTAATAATAAAGGTGTAAGGGTATTCAGTAATTAAGTCTAAGGTTTCTGATCCTCTATTTCTTTCCAGAAAAATTGCAAATTTTCATATTAAAGTCATTTAAAATGTTCATATGAAAAAGAACTTCATAAAACTTTATTAATAATTAAGTTAGTATTCAAATCAAAAGTTTAGAAAATGTATCCAAGTTTTTTTGCTTAAATTGATTCAAGTGAAGCCAATTTTTATTTAAGCATCTTCTCAAGCTTCTCCACATACCTTTTCTTTTACTTTTCTTTTTCTTTTTTTTCTTTTTCTTTTCTTTTTCTGAGGATTACTATATTTGGATAGCCTGTAATGATTTTGAACTTCACTATCCTCTTTTTAAAGTTAAAAAGTTTTTACATTTTTTTCACTTAACAAATTTATATTAAATTAAAGATTTCATATTAATGATTTCATAAAGTTTAATCCTTTTCTTTTTACATGAATTTCTTCAAGATTTTTAATACTTCAAAAATACAAATTTCCTTTACTAAAAATAGAAAAACATATTCTTATTCTCTTTTACCAAATATCTTACCCCCTAGTATTAACCTTTATTATTGAACATTTTTACTTAAATTTACTATATATTTAGAAACATAAGTATAGTTATCCAAAGTTAACCTCTAATACTAATCTAATACTAAAGGCTAATACTAAAGGTCATGTTAAATTTAAAATTTTGAAAATGTAGTTAAGTGAGGACAAATAAAATTAAGTTCTTTTTTAACAAAGATAATTCTTCTCCCCCCAAACTTAAATTTATAAAACATTTTTACATGAAGAACTTTAAAAATGAAGGGTAAAATAATATATATAAAAAAAATTCAAACTTCAAACCTGTTGGAGATTTTGATTTTTGAACATAAATTTAATTCAAACCTGTTGGAGATTTTCATTTTTGAACATAAATTTTGAAATGTTGCAGGTGTTACTATGAGAATTACAAGGCTAAAAACATTAAATTGTACATAATACATATAAAATTTGCTGAGAAAGAGCTAATCACAATACATAACAAAGTGTTGAAAATCACAACATAACTAAACTAAATTCTAAAAATAAAAAAAGTGTTTCATATTACATTTTAGCATAACATAACAAACAAAGTCTCAACAACATCACAACGCAAAGATTACAATAACACAATAAAAAAACAAACAAACAGACCAAATAGATCACCATTCATTATCTTCCTTATCATCGACATCTAACTTCTGCTGCTGATATGGAGTATAAGTAGGGTGAATCGGGAACTAAACTGTATGCTCACCCCTCAGATATCTCACTAAAGCACCATCATAAGCAGCACCATATTCAAATTTCTGGTGAAGCAGATCACTAGTGTGAGCACTTCTAGCCTCCATATTTTGCATCTTATGATCCATCCTCAAAATATCACCTTGTTGAATCATAATTCGGTCCAACAACTCCTTGTTACTAGGGTCACTTAAAGTAGGCTCACTAGGGGTTGTAAAAGTGGAAGGAATATATTTGGCCTGTCTTCCAGATCTCTAATCAATATAGGACTCATAAGTCTTGATGTTGGCAGGCCCAATCAGTCTCTGAGGCTCAATCCTTTCCTCATCTGGTCTGAAATCAACTTTTGCATGCTCACAAAGTGTGTAAATTAGAGCAGGGTGCGCCAATCAATCCACCAGTGCTCCTGTAGCAATAGATCGAGTGTTCATATAAATGATAGAGCCTACATTTATGTCCATCACCTACTGAATATAGAAGTTCAGGATGACTCTATCCTTGGTTAAGCAATGGATTGCTATGATAATTCAGTGGAATCATCCTCCTAGAAATAAAATAATGTCAGGTGTTAGATACTACATTCAACATAGAAATGGGAAAGTTAACTTTAACTCCATTCTTTATTTTCTAAGCCCTTTTTTCACTCGTCAGAAAAGAAATAACTTCATCTAAAGCTTGATCTGTAGTAGAAAAAGAATGATATTGGCATCTATACACATCTTCTAACTGATAAAACTTATTAATTTTTTTTGGAGTAAAGTCCACCCTTTTTCCTCGAACAAAAATAAAATCATCTAAAGCTTCAGAAAGGTTGGCATAAACTTCTATTACAATCCTAGCTATCACATCGATAGTTAAATAACAGAAATTTTCCCACTGTCGAGCAGTAATCAAATGTTCAACTTCTCCTCCCGAATTTTTAAAACCTTGGTCCTAAATCACTTTTTTATTTTGTTGCAAACTATGTAATCAAGCATTGGCTCTAAAGCTAAAAAATCTCTGCTATATTCTATTTTTCTTTTACTTGATTTAGGTGCCATAGGAAATCCAAAAAAAATTTGAAAAATTCTCAATAAATCCAAAAATTCCAAAAATTAAAATGTAAAACATTTTAAACTTTAAATCACTAAATAAGAGTTCATCACCAAAGGATTTTCTCATTTCTCAAAAAATTTCCATATTTTCGGATCCATGCAATGTGAGATTAATCCTTAGTGAAAATAAAAAATTTATGGTTTAAAGTGTAGCTCTTACCTAGAGAAGATGAAATCTAAAGTCTTTTAGCCTCTAAATTGCCTCAAATTCGCCCAAAGTCAAGCCCTAGCCGCCCAAATCGAAAGTTGAAGATGACTTGAGCGTAAAACAATGGTGGCCACAGTAAAAACTACAAATTTTTAGGGGTTTAATTTGTTGTCGAGTAGAGGGCATCGTCGGCGCCGATGTCAGTGCCGTTGGCGCTGAAGGCCTAAAAAATCCATATTTTGATTTTTTTAATTTTCAATTTCCTATTGGCGCTGAAGGCCTAAAATGTTTAGTAATTTAGACACAAATTTTTATCTAACAATAATTTAGAAACAAAACATTTCACAAACAACAATTTTTACAAACAACAACAAACTAACTTTTATATATGAAAGTACACTTTTTACAAACACATTTTTTAATTACACCATCACGCATATTAAACAAACTAATTATAAATCAGCATTGAAA